TATTTATATATTTTAAATATCTACTTTATTTTTTGATACACAGTTAACTTCTAACCCTCCATTTCCCAGCCAAAAATGGTCAAACGCTTTTAGCATTTTGTTGGACCATCTTTTGTTTTCATTATGCCATACATTCAATGTGTCATTRTTTCCATAAGCTTCTGCAATGTCACATTTATTTCTGTCCAGAGTTGCATCCATTTTTCATCAAGCGGTGTGGTGGTATGGTGGAAATGATGTCTCATGGGCTTTCTCTGTCATCTGGTTTTTTCTTGAAGTCTGTCTGTGCCTGCTCACAGAAAGCTGCARCTCTGGCARATGTTGCCAGATCACCACTAAAATTGCATAATCGGTACTTTGTAACAACAAAACGTGCCCTGAAATTTGTATAAAAGTTATGAAGCGTTCATAACTTTTTGAGTACCGTAATCTTGTGCACAGTCAAAGACAGACAGACAGAGACAGCAACACTACCAAAATCAGAACCTCCATGGCAGAAGTAATAAAACGTAATGGCCCTAAAGCGTATCCTTGAGGCACCCCTTTAGTTATTTTGAAGGAGGTTAGATCATCTTGAACATGCTGAGATAATTTTCAAACCAACAAACTAAATTGTTTTAATAGTCTGATGTTAATTGGACACAAACTTAACTCTTATGTACAGACAAGACTGAAGAAAATGACTAAGAATTTTAGTAAAAGATATTTTTAACACCGTTAAATTGGGTACTTTAGTCCAATATGAAGAGCAAGACATCAAAAACTTTTTGGTGTGATAAAATGCTGCATACATCTCATTCAGGGGACTGGGAATAAGCCGTGTATAATATTAATAATGAATGTTTGATCCCCTGGCAAATCTCAGAGTTGAAGTACAAAGTGAGCAAGTAATTGGTGATGATGTGCTCTCTGCATGTGACTAACAGGCTTTCCGGCAGAGCAAATACAACGCGCACCCACACCACAAGGACTCACTGTTAGTTTGTCCATAAATAATTACATAATTAGACTGCAGTATTTAGTACAGTTGTTATACATCTGTTCATGGCATGCTGCCGGCACCGCTGGAAGTCAGAGGGATATTTTACACTATGAGTTCAGTGAGCAACTGTTATGCCATTCAAGTTGAATCAACCTGTGAAAGTCTGATTGGCTTATCTTTATAGCCCAATGTGCTGACTGAGTCCAAATAAGCACTGGTCATGTCAAGATAACCTTTTTAGTGTCATAAAGTTTATCTCTTTGAATGGCTTTAAGTAATTCACAAATGCATTTTCTGTTTTTTTTCTTATCTACTGTTCCAGACACCCGTGTTAGTGTTAATAYAGATGAGATTTTATTGCCTGCTGCAAATTATGAATGATACACTTTGAATGATAAGTATTTGCTTTGAGTGTGTTTCAACTGTTGACCCACATCCACTGATGAAAAACAAAGTTAAGCACCCAAACTCAATGGTGGAAATGAAATGAAACTGGTGGTGTGACTTAGCAGTAAGGTCCCATGTCAGTAAGATATGGCACACATTGGGTCTTGATACAACCACTGTTTTGGTGCAGAACTGAGTGGAATGTAATCCCATGGCTGTTGCAACAGGCAATTAACAGCTGATAGATTAACATGAGTCAGAGTCAATGTCTGAGCTGGTCCTACACACTTAATTAAAAAACGTTGAGGGGCCTGTTTGRCCACAGGATGACCTCAGTATGAACCAGTCCACACATACTGTGTGTGGACAGGCATTGTCTTACTGAAAGTCTGTAAAAGGATACTGTCTCAGGAGGGGTAAAACATGCAAAATACAGGATGTGATTCATCTAGCATTGTCCCACCAGGGTCCTTCAAATCACTCTCAGAGGTGACCTTTTGTCACACCACCTTATGGCTCCAAACACCTTGTTGCCAGGGTTAGCATGGTGTGCCTCTCTGCAACATTGGCAGTAGTGGTCCTCTTTCCTCAGTTTTGCCATATGTACAAGTGTGCAGCAGTGCAAAACCAAGATTAATTACAACACCACTTATCAGTCCATACCTTCTGATTATGACACCAGTTCTAAAACAGCTGTCTCTACTCTAGAGTCARTGGCAGTTTGTGCATGAGATGGTGAACTAACAGTCTGGCACTTGTTGAGACATGGTATGTGATGACAGGAGGTGTTGTAAAGAGTCCATATACATGTCAACCCCTTCAGATGCTTACCTGTATCAAGAGCCTCAAAAAKCCATAGTTTTTGCAAAAGAATCTGYATTAGTCACATTAGGCGGGGAGGTGYAGGCAGACTGTCTGCCACAGAGATGACAGAGCAGAGCAGGTTGGAAGATGGTTATTTGATGTTATTTACAAGTATTTTTAACCCCTACAGGCTCTAAAATGTAAAATAAATTTGAAAATGAATTTTAGAAAAAATCTGTTAATTTTGAAAAAATTGGTGAGATTGCTCTATACGTTTGTATACCTGCAAAATGATGGAAACTCTGTGTAAATTACAGACAATCTGCACAACTTAACAGGTATGAGTCAAGTATCAGTATCCAGACGAAGGGGCACAGATGCCTAGGGGTTTTGTGATATTTGGCCTAAAACGCAACAAAAATTCTCCCTTGGTCTGTTTTGTGCAGATGGAAACATGTGAGGCTGCCTTCACAGAACCCCTTTTCTTCATATTCAAGTTTCACTCCAATCAGTTCATGTCTGTTCAGTTCTGCTCAGGTGTGTTTCATTGGCAGTTTCTCACACTCTGTAGGCTTGAATACTGTACATGTTTGTCTCCTGCACCTCTCTCCGGGAAGAGTTTGCAGGAGAAGTTTGCAAGTTCTTTCTTGGCTCAGTCAATCCACAGGCAGCAGTCTGCTGATGTCAAATAACTAGTGCAATACTCTGTTTGACCAGCATAGAACCACTGCCGAGGTGGTTCTGAAAGCACGTATGGAATTGAAAATGGAGACACATCTGGACAAGGCTTAACCAAGGAAAACTGCTTAAAAGTCAGCCATCGGAGAAGGGGCTATACTGTACCTACAGATTCCAACATTGATCCACTGCACCATCTGTTCACTCGATATGCAAATACACAAGTTCTTGTCCTTGCTCAAACCCACAGTGGTTGGCCCTTATAAACCTCTGTCAASGGCTGGGATTGCTGTCTAATGCATTTACAAAGCATCTAAGGATTGGCAGAACCACAAACAAGAAGAGGAAAAAAGTGTTTKTGAGAGGAATTTCAGTGGGCCACCCAGCTCTGTGGATCTTCCAGCTACATAGAACCAGTTATCTTTTAGAGCTGTAAAACAAAGGGATTAAACAAATTTGTTTAACTGATAAAATTTAAAATGTATTATGACAAATCAAATGAACACACATTAAACAGTGAATTGGTAAATAGCTTTAAAATAAGAAGTAGCCTGCAATGTCCCACAATGTCAGAATGGTGAATCAGGATAATGTTGATGAGGGCAGGGTTGAGGGAGACAAGTCTTCATGTGTGTATGAGGGCCTAAACTTTAAATTGTTTATATGGGAGGTTTTAATTTTGTATAAGGTGTTCATTATAGTGTTTTAGAGTGTTGTGTTTCAAAAGTGTGTGTGCAAGCTTATTCTGAGATCTGTCTTACATGGCACCCCATATTCTGGTATCTCTAACTGATGATGAAAGCATTTATTGTCATCGTTTGCACAATGAAATTACGTTTAAGAAGGTAAAGGTACTTAATTTGTCATCCAATGCTTGTTCCCATACAATGACGAAATTTGTGATCTGCATTTAACCCATCACACGTGAGAAACACCCAAGTGGAGGCAGCGGGCAGCCATGTGGGGCTGCCCGTGGAGCAGTTGGAGGTTGGGTGTCTTGCTCCAGGACACCTCGACATGTGGGCATGATGGGAGTCGAACCTGTGGCTTTCGGGTCTCAAGCCGGCTGCTCTACCACTACACCACAGCCACCTCCAAGAACACTGATTCAAGAAGACACACACGACAAAAACATGAGGGAACAGGTGATCAGGTCATACGGCAACCAGTAGGGGTCGCACTACATTTAAAAAGCCCGGAATACACACAATAGGAAATATGAGTTWAAAAAAAAAGCTCTGATAGAAACACAGAATCATGCGCTCAAAAAAACCCACTCGCAGAGTGCAAGGCAGCAAAGGAAGGGAGGGGGATGGGGAAGAAGTGTCAGTGTCTTTCATACTTTTAATACCATTGGTCTGTATGTGTACTAAATGGTCTGATGCAGATCATTTTTAAAGCTTTTTTTTTGTTAGCAAGTGTAATTGTACTATTTTTCTAATGAGCTAATTTTTTTTCAGAATCTCTTAAAGGGGCCAGGGTTTTGGTCACGGGGGCCAGCACAGGTATTGGTGAACAAATGGCGTACCATTACGCACGGTTTGGAGCTGAGATTGTAATTACAGCAAGAAGGGAAAAAGCCTTACAGCAGGTTTGTTTTTATAACCACTTTTTTTCCGTCCATTGTTAATGTGTTCTTTGAAATATTTGCAATATACAAAAAACTATAACAAGACAGAATACTGACCTGTACTTGCTTCCAGGTTTGGTTATCACAACTAATTTCTTTAATCCTTAAGACTTAGTTTCTGCATTTCACTTGCATCTTTTTCAGTTGGAGGTATTCCAAATAGAGAAGCATTTTTGCCTAGATACAAAACAAATATTAACATGCATTCATGGATGTTCTGCCAAATTATTTACAAAATGTGTCCATCTGAACTCCCAGGTAGTGGAGAAGTGTCTGAGTCTTGGAGCCCAGAAAGCTCTGTATATAGCAGCAGACATGGGGAGTGAGTCTGACCCTGACAAAGTGGTGGATTTTGCTCTGGAGAAGCTGGGAGGCTTGGATTACCTGGTTCTCAACCATATTGGTCCAACTCCCTTCAGCATGTGGGAGGGGGATGTGGAACACACCAGGTGGCTAATGAAGGTAAATGAAGCATTTTTGATGGTTTATCAGTACATAAAACCTAAAGAATGTCCTGATCTGTTTGTGTGTTTGTGTGTTCTGAAGGTTAATTTCTTCAGCTATGTTCAGATGTCCTGGAAAACCTTGCCTTACCTTGAACAAAGTAAAGGATCTCTGGTAATTGTTTCTTCAGTTTTGGGTAGGTATGCCTCCATTATATTTTTATGCACAGCATCAGATGACACAGCAGATTTTCTTAGTCTCAAATATTTAAAAACTGTTCTGATCTTCAGATGTATCAGATGATGTGTCACCTGATTTCTGTTTGCCTTCCAGCAAAAAGAATAAATTGTTGTTTATTTTTGACATGATTTTCTGTGGTTTTAATAAAATCTGTCTGATATCTTTGGTCGACTTTCAATGACATGACCAATTAAGGCGGTTAAGACCTCAGTCACACAAATGATACATAATCATTTGCTTCACAGTGGGTCTACTCCATTTGGTTTGGTTAAAGTTATTAAAGCTCACAAGTGGTGTGATTGTAGACTAGTTTTTGGCAACTGTAATTTTTTTTTCATGTTTTTAGGTGAAGTTAAAAGTTCAAAGTTGAATTTGTATCTTGTGACTGGTCATATAACAGACTGGAGTACCTTACCTAATTCTTAGTCTAGTATTTTACAACATATGTACAAGAAAAAGAAAAGCTTGCGATAATATTTGGAATATGATGGCAGAGCAAAAATGTAGCATAGTTTGCTGATAAAATTGAGTGGATATAAAGATAAAAGGCTGAATGCCCCTGAACTATAGAAGATGGTAAAGAGTGATTATTTTTCCAACATAACACTGGACCTTTAACCTTCAACTTATGTACCGGTATGTGTGTTTCTTTTCTTTATGGCTTTTGACTAGATAAGAATTGATGACACTTGGTTAGTTTCGAGCAAAGAAAATGTTTTGTTTTTTCATAATGTGTCATAAATCCTTCATTAGTAATGCTTACTCCACATTCAGATACCTTGCTTTAGACAGCTGTCTGTTCGTATTTTTCAGGTAAAATGCCCAGTCCTTTTACAGCACCATATGCTTCAACAAAGTTTGCCCTAAATGGTTTCTTCGGATCTCTGTACCATGAACTGGCTATGAGGAGGAGCAACGTGTCAGTCTCTATATGCACACTGGGGCTTATCGACACYGAATCAGCTATGGAGAAAGTCAGGTTTGTCAAATATGTAAACATATTTGTACATATCTTTATGTAGGAGGGGGGATCATTTTGTATTAATTTCAGATGCTTGATTTTGATAACGTAGCTTTCTTTGTATCTTAGGGGAGTCACTAAAATCCCAGCCTACCCTGCCACAGACGCAGCGCTGAGCATCATCAGAACYGGAGCCACAAGGCAACAGGAACTTTACTATCCTTGGTTCACTCAGTTTCTGTCGTACAGCAAAGACTGGCTTCCTTCTGTAACYAACTTTGTCATCCAGAACTCCTACAACTACAGTCCATGATGTTTGTGTATCTGCAGCACACACCATGGGGATGCACATCTTTAATGGATATGGTGCACAGTCTTAGACTTTATAATAAAATGCATCTAATGTCGGACCTTTTTACCTGTTTATTTATGATATGATGATATCATATCGGGCATATGATATATATAGGCTTTTCTAACTTTAGTTATTGTCTGCCAACTATCCCATCAAAGCTCCTATATTACTGAAGGTTTACCCATAAGACAACACACGGGGGCAGCATTTGTTAGAACCATCTTTGTTTATTCATGCTTCACTATTCTATTTACTGTGTGCATGTACCTAGATGCTTGTATAAAGTAAGATTAAATAAGGTGTAGTCACCCTGTACTCTAAAGATGATTAGGAGATCCATATACCAGACAAAGTATTACATGTGAGTTATTAAATAAGTGAAGTCTCTAAAACTGACACCCGGGAATGATGTCCTTGAGCATACAGACAGTGAAAAATTGTGCAATAAACAGAAGTAGTAACAAGAAATACTGAATAAAAACACAAAAACAGTATGTAACTAGAAGTAATGCAATATATGCACAATTTACGTATTTAGAATTGTAATGTTTAAACATAGAGTGCAGTGCAGTGTTCACTTGCTGAATCAATAAAGTTGACATTTTGAAATGCTAATCCTGTGTCGTCATATCAGCTGTGGTGGATTTTCTAAAATAATGGTCAAATAAGAGCTTAGCTGTCTTGAGKTGGTTTATTTAAAAATGATTAAAGAAATAAAAAATAAAGAATAAAAAATTTAAGAAGAATAAATGCTAAAAGCAAAGAGTCTGCCTACCCATCTACCCCTAGCTAACTAGCCTACCTACCTACCTACTTAGTAAGTAAGTAAGTAAGTAAGTAAGTAAGTAAGTAAGTA